GCGGGGAGTCTGCTTCTCCCTCTGACCCTCACCCCTGTCATGCTCTCTCTCTCATTCTCTCTCTCAAATAAATAAATAAAATCTTTAAAAAAAAAAAAAGATTTTATTTATTTGAGAGAGAGCAAGTGAGAGAGAGAGCACAAGACGGGGAGAGAGGCAGAGGGAGAGGGAGAAGCAAGCTCCCCGCTGAGCAGGGAGCCCGATGCGGGGCTCAGTCCCAGGACCCCGGGATCATGACCTGAGCTGAAGGCAGGCGCTTAACCGACTGAGCCACCCAGCGCCCCAACCAAAGCCCATTCTTGACCCTGCGATGCCGCTGGCCCTGAGATCGAGGCGTCTGCCCTTTTTATAAGAAGCACACTTGGAGCATGCTCCTGGGGGATCCCAGGGGGTGGGGTACGGTGCTGCCTGCCCTGAGGTGCCCCAGCAGGTGCCCCACCCCCTCGAACCCTCCTTTCCCCTGAAGCCCCTGCCTCCAGGCCCAAGTCCCCAGGGCCCCTCTCCAGGCCCCACAGTGCTCGTCCCCCACAGGTTCGGGCGGAAGCCGGCGCTGAGCTGGTGCTCCCTGCAGGTGGCTTTGGCCAACACCAGCACCATCTTTGCTTCCAATTTCCTCATCTACTGTGGCCTCCGGTTCCTGAGCGCTTTTGGAGTGGCCGGCATCATCATGACCCCGGTGACGCTCAGTGAGTCCCTCCCTCAGCTGCGCCTGCCGTGGTGGCGGTTGGGGGCGGGAGGTGGGGGGGAATGGGGCCCCGAGGCCACCGCTCAGCCCTTACCTGCCTGTCTGCATCACCTTTCAGTGGTGGAGTGGACCACAACCCGCAGGAGGGCCGTCACCATAACAATGCTGGGATGCTCCTATAGCCTGGGCCAGATGACCCTGGGGGCCCTGGCCTTCACCCTGCGGGACTGGCGGGCTCTCCAGCTGGCCGTGTCGATGCCCTTCTTTGCCATCTTCCTGATCTCCTGGTGGGTACAGTGTGGGGCCTTTGCTCTTGGGGAGGACGTCACTTGCTAGGAGGGAGATTTTGGGGGCCAGGGTGCCTCTCACCCTCACCACCCTGGCCGGCCGTGGATCCTGAGACGCTGAGAGCCACGTAGGGCAATGATGTGTGTGGGGCCCCTGCTCAGGAGAGATATCTTGGGGCTTCAGAGTTCCGGGGTGGGCGTTTTAGCCAGACGTCTGAGGCTCCCACCCGTCCCGCTGGCTCTCGGGCCTTCCCCTCCTCGGCACTAGCTGCCCCCCACCTGCTAGCCCCTTCCTTCACATCACTTGCCCACCCCCCACCCATGGGCTCCTGAGTCAGCGCGGACTGGCGTTGGATATGAAAAGATACCATCATCACGATTATTTGGGGTGCTGCAACACTCTCTGAGGTCTGGAAACACGTGGTTGGGTGAGGCACAGGGGACCAGACCCAAATTCATGACCCTGTAAGTTCTTTCGTGTCCATGAACCAGGGTTGGGTGGACCTGCGCCCCGTTAAGTCTACTGTGGGGTATAGAGAGTAGCAAGGACTCATTCATTCCTTCTCAAGTATTTACTGCCCCATGCCAGACGTGGTTTCAGGTCCCGGGGGCACATCAGCAAAGAAAACAGATCAAAAGCCACTGACCACGTGGAGTTTTATCGATAACAACAGGATCAGTAAGCAAGGAGGAAGACATCCCATAATCACACTTATTAGGCTGCTCTAGTCACCCTGGTTGGGTGAGTCCCAGGTGCTGTTGGTCATCCCAGATGTGTATTCACTTCTTCTAACGAGGAAGATGATAGGATGACCACCATTTTCAGAGGAGGGACTGAGGCCCAGAGAGGTTCAGTGACTCGTGCAGGCCACACAGCCGGTAAGTGCCAGAGGCAGGATTTGAACCCAGGCAGGCTGGCTCTTTGAACCACTAGGGCAGGTGGCCTCCGGACGGACGCAAACAGAGCTGAGCCCCTCTGGGCTGGGAAAATGCCAGTCCTCTCACCCAGGAGATGCCTCTCCCTGCTATCTGCCCCGAGGCTGGGAAGAAGCAGGCTACTTTTATAAAACCACTCAGTTCTGGCTGGGGATGTGTTTAGCGTGTGTGTGCGTGCGTGTGTGTGTGAAATTCAGCGTGATGTGAGCTGTCACAGAAATGGGCTCAGCTTCACCATAGGCTCAGGCAGCTGTGCACGGGCCATGCGCGAGCCCCCCGCAGCCGGGAAGCCAGATGGGGTGGTGTGGGGGAAAGAGGGCGGCCAGGCATTGGGACTCCGCTTTACTCGGTACCGAGGGAGGCTGCCAGTCTCGCATCCTGGCCCCAGCCATGCAGAGGGGAGAGCAGTTGCCGTCTGTCTCCCCCTGCTGCTGGGGGAGCGGCTGCCCACGTCCCCCTCCTGACCTGACGAGGAGGGCCCTGGACGCGGGAAGAGCGTAGGGGCCCGGGCAAGCGCCTGCGTCCTTAACAGGTGGCTGCCGGAGTCTGCCCGATGGCTGATTATTGTGGGCAAACCGGAACAAGCGCTCCAGGAGCTCAAAAAGGTGGCCAGGATAAACGGCCACAAGGAAGCCACAAAGTCACTGACCGTCGAGGTGAGATGCCCCTGTTTGTGACCCAGAGTGTGGGACGTGGCAGGGAGAGGACAGCCACTGATGTCTTGTCACCAGCTTCACCGCTACCCACCCGATAACAGCTGTGACAACCCCCAGCTTGCTTGTGGGAGGCTTCCACCCACATGCATTGCAAGCTCACCTCGTAGGGCTTCTCTGTGTGTTTGGGGGAAACTGCATGTGCTTCTCTGAAGGTGATTATTTCAAGGAAGTAGGTGTGGGAGGATGTGCAGCAAGAAACAAAACACAGCCTGGGGGTGGGAGGATCAGGGAAGGCTTCCAGGAGGAGGCGAGCCGACCAAGACTGAGCTGAGCATGGGGCAGGCGGGGCCCGGAGGGGCAGGAAGAGTCTGGATGGCACTTGGGTGCAGTGGGGAGCCCGTGTGGCTGGGGTAGGAGGCGTACCCTGAGGCCAGCCATGAGGGGCAAGGAGGGGTGGTCGGGTTTGTGTAGGAACTGCCGAGAGCTGGGACACAAGCCTGGCTCCCTGGCTCAGAGTAGGGGGGCCAAGTCGGCAGAAGAGAGCTCTGTCAGGGGGCCAGAGAGAGATCTTTCTTTCTGTCTCCATCCCCGCCCCCACCCCAAGGCTCTCCAGTTTCCAGAAGCCAAGGCCAGGCTCCTCGCATCACTCTGCCCACCTGGACACCATTCCCTGGCACGGGGGCGGGGCGGGGCCCGTGCCACCCCCCACCCCCCACTCACTGTGTCCGCCTCTCCCCGCAGGTGCTCATGACCAGCATGCACGAGGAGGAGGAGGGGGCCTCTAAGAAGGCCCGCAGGTCAGTGCTGGACCTGTTTCTCATGCCCGTGCTCCGCTGGAGAAGCTGCAGCATGTTCCTGGTGAGGTATGCCACCCAGCTCATCCCTCCCAGAGCCAGGCCTGAGGAGGGAAGTGGGCCAGCCCCACGGGATGGGATCAGTGGAGGCCGGCGGCCAGTGCCCAGGGCCCAGGGCGATGGGAGAATTCACCCAAGGCCGAACAAAAGACATAGAAGTTTATTGAATTCACGGCAAGGGAGCAGAGAGACTGTCTGCCAGGAGGCAGTGGGAGGGGGCTGTAGTTATAGGGGAGGGGGAGGAGGTAGGGGAACGTGTGGAACGTTCCTTTTTGGGTCCGATTGGTCAGTGAGGGCTTACGGCTGTTTTGAGGTGGGTCCCTGGTGGGCCTGTTTGCAGGATGGTCGCTGTGGGCCCTTCTGCCTTACTGGGACTTCCAGTGCCCAAGCCTGGGGCTTCCAATGCCCAAGCCTGTTGCCTAAAAGCGGCCTCTACTGTGTCCGGGGTGGGAGTGAGGAGTGGCTCCTGCACGGCCTCAGGAAGCACGTTTCTGGCCGGACAGGCAGTTCCCCCAGGAGGCAGGAGTCCCGGCCAGCACTGGGGAGGAGCTGGGGGGTTCAAGCGGGAAACCAGCTGGAGGGCAGGGACAGGGGCACGCTGAAGCCCAGGCTGGACACGGAGCCTATGTCCCTAGAGATGGGGGACCAGAAGTGGCTGGAGAGGGCCACTGGCCCACTTACGCCAAGTTCATCTACACCCCCACTTTACAGAGGGGACAGCAGGGCCCAGTGGGGCAGGTAACTTGCCCAAGATGACTGGACAGGCGTTTGAACCCTGCCTGAGCTACCTCCTTGCCCGCTGCCACCCAGCAGGCCCCTCATTGAGCATGGACTCCCCAGCAGGCCCCGTCTTGGCACCCACGGCCACCTGGGACCAGGAGAAGGCCCCTTAATAAAACAAATTCAGTTCAAGTGACTTGCAGAGAGCACACTGAGAAGTGAGGGTCAGGTTTGATGGAGACTTATCTTGAAATAAAACTAAAGATTAGAAAAACGTTTATTTTATGCTATATTTAACCACATATGGGTTCCAATGGCAAATATTTGCTACACCTTAGGGAATGGATCAAATGCTTTTATTCCCACCCCCCCCCAAGTGAGAAGGAGTGCCTGGTGCCAGGAATGTCCAGGACCATTCTTTCAAAACCTTCAAGGCTTCCTCAGTGCTCCCAGGGGCCGCTCTGCATCCTTTGTTATTCAAATCACAGGCTGGGCAGCGGCTAACCTGATGGGTTTCTCGGCTTCCGCCGTTAACCCCTTCGGTACCGGCCCTAGAGCCTCAGCGTCAGCTACTTGGAGCCAGAGCTGAGCCCCTCCCCCACGGGGCTTCCACAAACTTCAGGAACCACGGGGGCCTGCAGCTTTAGTCAGCAGCTGGTGTCAGCTGGTGTCAGCTGCCTTGCTGGGTGCAGTGCTCAGGTGCGGCCCAAGGGGAGTGTCCATGAGGCAGGGATGGGGACCGATTTGAAAAGTGGTAGGGAGTAATTTCACACCGCAGTCACCGCTGGATCCAAATTCAATCTCCAAACTGCGGAAATCCAGCTACTGTTAAGTTCAGCTTCGCCTACTCAGGAGCCTGGGCGGTCTGTGGCAGGGCGGTCTGTCCCGTGTCCACCCCCTACCCCTCCAGACTTGGGGTGGAGGTCAGTAAGCAGGAAGTTCATTGGAGAGGGCTCTTGGGATCCCTGCCTGGGGACGGGGATGGGGAGGCTAGGGGAGGGGAAGGGAGGGGAGGGGAACAATCAGATGGGGCAGGGGAGCAGTCCCGGTGGTACTGCCCCAACAAGGCCCCCTGCAAGCCCACGGAGGGCCCAAGGAGCTGGGGTGGCCCTTCTGAACCGTCCCTCTGGCCTGTGTCATGGGATGTCCTCCCCAACTGAGAGGCAGCACTCCCAGAGGCTGGGAAAATAAGACTTGCCCTCCTGAAAGAAGGACAACACAGCCCACCTCCTTCTACTCTGGATCCCATCTTTCAAGATAAAGAAACTGGCACCCAGGAAAGGGCAGAGACTCGCCCAGGTTCAGGGCTAGTAGAGTCATGGTTCTAGCAGTGACTGGAAACAAAGCGAGAGAGTGCTCGGGACAGGACTGAAGCTCAGCTTGACCCACACAGCCCGTCAGCCCAGGGACTTAAGTGTCCCCACTGGCTGGTGGCCAGGGAGCCTGGGAGGTGACTGCCTAAGGCGGAATGAATGAAGCCTGGCCTTTCTCTCCTGGGCCAGCCCCACTCTTGAGAGATGTGTCAGGCATCCGACAGACAGGTTTTTCGGGGTCCGGTAGTGACCCGCTCAGGATGGCCTGGGCCCTCTGGGGACAGCTCAGGTGTGTGCCCTCTCCTCTGGGGCAGGGATCCGATTTCTGGCTTTGCCCTGCAGCTTCTCCCAAATGATCTCCTACTACGGACTGGTCCTCGACCTGCAAAACCTGGGGAGTGACATCTTCCTCCTCCAGGTCCTCTTCGGAGCTGTGGACTTACTGGGCCGGGCCACCACCACTTTCTTGTTCAGCTTCTTGGGCCACCGCACGACCCTGGCCAGCTTCCAGATCATGGCTGGCCTCTCCATCCTGGCCAACATACTGGTCCCACAAGGTGAGGCGGGGTGGACTGAGTGGGCTGAGCTGCTGACAGTCTGGGGCACTGGCTTCCCTGCCTGCACCCGCCGCCCGCCCCCCCACCCATCCCCCTGAGGCGACTGAGGTTCAGAGAGGTGGAGTTGGGTGCCGCAGGTCACTCAGCTAGCCAGTGACAGGGCCAGGGCTGGGACCAGACTTCAAGCCCGAGGCTGGTCCTGAGGTGGGAGGAGGGGCTGGGGAAGCTGCGAGACACTTCAGTTGCTTGAAGTGAGGCGCGAACACCAAGCCTGGGGCACTGGGGTGTGCAGATTGCTGGCCAGGGCTCCCGTCTTACTCTTTTCTTTCTGAATGAGACTTTAATGCCCCGAAAACCCTCTCAAGTCTCCTTTTATGGCTCAAGGCAAGGGGGGCTGGTGGAGGGGCGGGGACCCCGAGTTCTGAGCTGATAGCAAAGCCAGGAGGGAGGCAGAGGGGTGGTCTCCCAAACAAGCTGCAAGAGGCAGTGCTCGGGGAAAACTTGCAAAGACAAGTGTGTGACAGTTTTTGAGACTCTTCATTACAAGGTGTGGGAGGGAAAGCTAAGGCCGAGTGTGGCTTCTTAGCCAGCGTTCCCACAGACAGACGGAAGGCAGCGAGGACCTGCCATGACCCTCTCCTTCATGGAGGAAGCACACCCAGGTCCCAGAGAGCTTTGGCACGGTGACACTGTAAGGAGCAGGCCCCGAGAGCCATCCTCAGCTGCCCCGGGTCGCCCGCCCCGGACCTGGCTGGGTTCTGGCGCTGCCCCCCCCACCCCTCCGCCCAGCCCACCAACTGTGATGTCAGGCTGCACCTGCAGCCCTGGGCGGCCTGGCACCGAGTCAGCACTGTGGGGCGCCTGGGAGCAGTCAAGGAAGCCCTGCGCTCTGGGCTCACTGGGGACCCCTCGGGCAGAGCCCACTGTCACCCTCTTCCTCTGCCCAGATTTGCAGACCCTGCGCTTGGTCTTCGCCGTGCTGGGAAAAGGATGCTTTGGCATAAGCTTAACCTCTATCTCTGTCTACAAGCCTGAACTCTACCCAACTGCGCTGCGGTAGGCTGGGCTGCGCGCTGCACCCAGGAGGGGTGGCCAGACCCAGGGCGCGCGAGAAAGGGACGTCCCTGGGAAGGCCAGTGGGGAGGGCAAAGAGGGGCTGGGTATCCCGGAACAACACAGCTGACCAGGGAGAATGGGGTGGGTCCTAGACAGTCCATGAAGGACTCTGGATTGGATGTTCTCAGGAAGGAGAGGGCCCCTCTGGGTGGGAAAATCTAGGTGGGCTCCGTGGAGGAGGTAGTGTTAGGAAAGACTTTGAGGATTGCAGCTCCTTCACCCATCTTTCCCTCCCCTGGCACATCCTGACCCAGCCAAATGCCTCCCCCTCCCCCAGTAAGGTCCCCTTCTTGAAAGTGGCATTGATGACCGGGGTCTGGGCCCTCCCCTCCACCCCCAGGATGACAGCAGATGGCTTCCTGCAGTCGGCAGGTCGTCTGGGGGCTGTGACGGGGCCCCTAATCAGGATGACTCGCCCGGCCGTGCCCCTGCTGGCCCCCGTCTCCTACGGTGTCATCCCCATCGCTTCCAGCCTCATCCTCCTGCTCTTTCTCCCGGAGACCAAGGGGCTTCCACTTCCTGACACCATCCAGGACCTGGAGAGCCAGTGAGTGATCCTTGGTCACCCTGGGAGTAGGGCTGTGCTTCCAGGAGTAGCTGGGCAGGGCTGCAGGGGCAGGCCTCCCTCAGCCCCGGGACGGGACGGGAGAGCCCAAGGGTCAGGGAGACATGCTAGACGAAGAGGCCAGAGCTGGGCTGGGCTCGTCATTGACATGGTACCAGCAGCTTGAGTGTGCCGAGAGCTGACCACATCCCCGGTGCCTCGGGGCAGCAAGCCGGTGAGCATCAAGGCTTTGCGTCTGAGACCACGTAATCATTGCAACAACACAGCCAGGAAGAGACTATTTCCATCGCTGTTTACCAGAGGCTCAGAGAGATGAAGGGCTGATTCAAGGTCTCCCAGGTAGAAGGCCATCGTTCCTTAGGCAGGGACATGCAGAGGTTCTGAGCCCGGCTCTGCAGCCAGACTGCCTAGGACTGAATCCCTACGCCCCGGGCACGCACTGACCTCTCTTACCAAACTCGCCCAAGAGGTTGGAGCCAGCCCTGACCGCCCTAGTTCAATCTTCCCCCAGGAATCCCAGGCCCAGACAGATCAACAGCTCAGTTTCTGGAGCACATCATGCTACCCTCATTCCATCCTTTGAGAGAACAGAAATGAGGCAGCATTCCTCAAGTTTATTTTATGGCCCGAATCACCATGATGCTTCTGCTTTCTCATTTATAAAATGGGGGTTAAAACAAAACAAAACCAAACCCAGCCGAGCTCTAAGAGCTGTTTTCGAGTTGAAGTTATTATATTAAAGCACTGAGGATAATGCCTGGCCCACAGCACGGGCCCCAGGAGTGTGGCTGCTGTGTCCTGGGTAAGGGTAGTCATGGGGCGTCAACAGGCTGAGCGGGAACCATCCATGCTAATGGATGGGGGTGCCTGGGTGGCTCAGTTGGTTGAGCATCCCACTCTTGACTTCGGCTCCAGTCATGATCTCAGGGTCCTGGGATTGAGCCCTGCGTCGGGCTCTACGCTCAGCAAGGGAGTCCGCTTGTCCCTCTCCCCCTGCTCCTCTCTCTCTCTCCCAAATAAATAAATAAAATCTTTAAAAAGAGAGTAATACTAACAGCTGGTGCTCAGAGGGCCCTTCCTGCTTCAATAGAGCATCTTATTTAATTCAAACAACCCCACAAAGAGCTGTTATGTTCAATTTCACTGCCAAAGAAATGAAGACACAGAGAGGTCATGTAACTTGCCTAAGGACACTCAGCTAAGAAGCAGGGAAGGTGGGACTTAACTTACTCTTTCACTTTTTTGAGCACCTACTATGTTTCGGGCACTGTCTTGTGCTTTGGGGGACATAGTGGAAAATCAAAGCCTAATCTCATGGCGTTTATGTGCTCATAAGACTTGACCCCCAGTTCCGCCCTCCGAGCTCTTCAGCTGTCTCACCACACACCACCGCTCTGTCTTTTGATTACTCTAGGAAATCGGCAGCAGCCAAGGGCAAGCAGCAAGAGGTGGCCATTACAGAGAGTACCTGGTTCTAGCAATTCTGCCTGCGAGGAGCCCCTTTGGCTGAAGATCCCCACGAAAGAACTTGCCTCCTCTCCAGTGGAGGGAGGAAGCAATCTGGAGAACCTTGAGGGCCTATAGCATGGCTGATGCTGGGGCAGCTGGGCTGAGGGGCAGCATTGAGGCTGAAGGCTGCTTTCCCTGCTCACTTCTCTTCCCCCCACCTCAGCCCTGCAGAGGCCTGGCCCCGTCGACAAGATGGGTTCTGTCCCCTCCCTGCCAGGCTCCCATCTTCACACCTTCACTCAAAACTCCTGACTCACTTCACTGAACCGGAAGCTGCAGGTTTCTCACCTCCGAGCTACCAGAGTGGATCCTAGGACAAAAAAGGAAGGATCTGGACAGACCTGAGTCCCAACCCCTCCCCCACCATTTGCAGAGTCCTCCTCTGTAAAACGGAAATGATTATGGAATCTACCTCCCCGGGGAGGGGGTCCGGGGGTGATAGGTTAACAGATCTTAGCACAGACCAGAGTCCAACACATAGAACCTTCTAGCGGAGCTGCCAGCCTCAGGTGTTCAGGTTGTGCTCTGCCTGAGGCAGCAGCTGATGCAGGACACGTTGGGCTACGTGCAGGAACAGCGGGAACCACCAGGGCCTGTGGGAGGCAGACTTTGTAGCACCAAGAGGGCAGAGTGATCCCTGGTTCCCAAGGGAGGATGTGATTGATGTGTCTGAGGAATCCCACCCGTTACCAGGGAACTGAGGCCCCCTGCTCAGGAATAACAGGAATGGCCCTTGGTTGCTTGACAATAAGTGTTGTTTGCTATGGGACCCTATCCACAGGAGCAGGTGGGGCAGGACTTGCAGTTTGGCCATTTGAGACCCTCCTGGTTTCCCTACATGTCAAGGCAGCACATCATACTGGGCCTTAGTTTGAGGCCTTACATCACAGGGGCACCCTTCGGTTGTCCATCTCAAGGGGTCACCTTTGCCTAATTCACACAAAGACCTTCCCTGTGCTGGCAGCAGCCCATGCTGCTAAAACTGTGGGATCACTGAGGCTGACCACCTACTTTAGAGGTAAGAAAACTAAAACTCAGAGAGGTGGAGTGACATGCTTGGAGTCCCATGGCTGAGCCCTGGCCAGGAGGCCGGGCTCCCAGTCCAGAGCTCTTTCCAGCACACCAGGCTCCTCACCCTCACCTCCAGACCTCCAGGCCTGACATCTGCAGCCCTGTCACAGAGTTACTCCCACACCCTTCCCTGGAGAGCCAGACCCTCTAGGCAACTGCCCACTCTCCTTGGATGACTCGGAAGCCTCAAGCCATAGGTTTCCCATCCCAGGCATCCCCATTTCCCTCTGTCAAATCCAGTGCACACCAGGCCAATCAAACACAATTCAAATCAAATCCTCTGTCTGCTTAAAACCTTCTGGTGGCTCAAGATAAAGACCACACTTCCCCCACCAATAGGCTCCCATGGTTCTCTAGCCTTGCTTCACATGTAATAAATGTTTAAAAATTCAAATCATATAAAGTATGTTCTTGGATCCTCATGGAGAGAAATTAGAAATCAGTAGTGGAGAGGTATTTGGAAAACTCCTTCACACTAAACAACACACTTCTAAATAACCCTGGGCCAAAGAATTCATCACAAAGGAAATTAGAAAATATTTTGAATTGAATGAAAATTTTTAAAAATGGCACATCAAAATTTGTGGGATGAAGCTAGAGAAGTGGTTCAAGGAAAAACTAATATCATTAAGTGATTATATTAGAAAGGAAGAAAGTCTCAAATCCAATATCTCAGCTTTCACCTTTAGAAATTAGAAAAAGAGGTCATTTAAACTAAAGTAAGTAAAAGAAAGGAAATAATAAACAGAAATCAGAAAAATAGAAAATGATCAAGAAAGTCAGTGAAACTTGAGGCTGGTTCTTTGAGAAGTCAATAAAATTTATAAATCTCTAGATGTACTGATGAGGAAAAAAAAGAAAAGAAAAGACACACATTACCGGTATCAGGAGTAAAAGAAGAAGCATCACTACCAATCCTACAGATATTAAAAAAATAAGGAAATATTATGGGCAACATTTTGCCAACAAATTTGACAACTTAGATGAAATTAACAAATTCCCTGAAGGATATGAACTAGCAAAGCTTGCTTAAGAAGAAATAGATAACATTATTAGCCCTATATCTGTAAAGAAATTGAGGTTGTGGGTTAAAACCTTCCCACAGAGGAAATTCCAGGCCCCCACTGTGGGAAACAGAACACCACAACGACCACTGGTGCATGTTCACTCAGACTCTGAGATCTCTGAGAAAACTTGAGATTGCAGGCTTAAAAATAACCCAAAAGAATCAGAGTGAAATGCCCTTGGGATGTGTGTGGTCAGTTCTAAAGTATGCAGCAGAAGATGTTCTGTAGATAGGAAGCCAGCTGTAAACAGCACACTGTGCACTCCCCTCTTTGTTCCCTTGTCCTGTAAACAGCACACTGGGCACTCCCCTCTGTTCCTTTATTCTGTTTTAAAGATTCTTACGTGCTTGACTAATCCTGTATACATGGAGGAATGTGCCTTACTACGCCCCTGCTGTAAGCCATTATAGATCTATATCGCTGTAGAAGGTTTATGTAAGAGGGTGGAAAATAAACCTCAGCACCTCGGGCCGCTCCCTCAGGGTTCCCTGTGCCTCACTCTACTGTCGTCTCTTTTTCTCAGTTCCTTCGCTGCCCCAGGTCCCTGACTCTCTGAGGTCGACACATCATGGCTTCACTGGTGAATCCTGCCAAACAACTAAGAAAAAAAAAATAGTAACAATTATGCCCAAAATCTTCCAGAAGATTGAAAAAGAGAGAACACTTTCCAGCTCATTTTTTGAGGCCAGCATCACCCTGATTCCAAAGTCAGAAAAAGATATAACAACTATAAACCAATATCTTTTCCAAACATAGACACAAAAACTCTTACCAAACATTTATTCATTTTTTTAAAAGATTTTATTTATTTATTTGAGAGAGAGAGACACAGTGAGAGAGGGAACACAAGCAGCGGGGAGTGGGAGAAGGAGAAGCAGGCTTCCCGCAGAGCAGGGAGCCCAATATGGACTTGATCCCAGGACCCTGGGACCATGACCTGAGCCGAAGGCAGTTGCTTAACGACTGAGCCACCCAAGCGCCCCTTAACAAACATTTAGAAAATTAAATGCAACATTATGCTAAGAAGGGCAACGCATCATGACTGAGTGGAGTTTATCCCAGGAAGGCAAAGCTGGTTTAACATTAAAAAATCAAGATTAACAAACTAAATTATTAACAAACTATAGAGGAAAGACCATATGATCATCTCAATAGATACAGAAAGTGCATTTGACAAAATTCAACATCCATTCCTGATAAACAACATTCAGCAAATTAGGAAAATTAGTGAATTTCCTCAACCTGACAAAGGATGTCTATGAAAAACCTACAGGTAACATCATACTTAATGGTGAGAGACTGAATGCTTTCCTGTCAAGATCAGGACTGAAGCCAGGCTGTCTACTCTCACCACTTCTATTCAGTATTGGTTCTAGTTGTGCAATAAGGAAAGAAAAAAATAAATAAAAGTCATCTAGACAAGAAAGGAAGACATAAAACTATCTTTAATTTGCAGATGACAAAACTGTAGAAAATCGTGGGCGTCTGGGTGGCTCAGTTGG